TAACTGCATCCTTTATCACTCTTCACCGTTTTTCAATTTTTATTTCAAAAAGTTTCGTTCTAATTTTTTAAAAATTTTAATGGATTTTTGTTTGAGAATTTTCATTATAAAATAAAAAATGATTGCAGTTTGTAGGACATTTAAGAAATAAGCATCGTTTGAAATCCTTCTTGATTAGTCTCCGGTGTCACATTTTCTTAAAACCATAACATCATCAAGTTTGCTGTTGTTCCTTGAAATGTGTGTTGTTATTTACTGGGAAGAACTTTGAAATTTTGAAAAAAATGAGAAATTTTAAATTTTTTCGAGGGACTTTTAAATGATGAACGCAATCTATGAAGCAATTAAAACAGTTTATTCATTTTAAATTCATTTCAGAATGTCTAAATCGTCGTTGTTATAGCACGATGACTTGGCTCGAAAACTGTTAGAAACTCGAAGACCATCGAACGCCATAAGCACATGAAACAGTGCTAACACGTGTTTTTTCATCTGCACCGCTTATATTTTCATCTAATCGTGCTTCAATTGTTTTTCAGGTTTAGCTTAGCTTTTATTTTTTTCATGGATGTGCAGTATAAATTTTTGTTAAAAACTTATCAAACTTTTTTGAGTTTGAATATAAACGACATCATCTGCATAGTATAATATTTTTATCATTTCCCGGTAACAAAACTGAAAGCTTTAAATTTTGAATGAATATTCATATCATTTATGACCCTCAGACTTTAATTTTTTGCAACCTTTTCAATGAAAACGTGCTGCAAAAAATGTACAAATTACGACCTCCCTATTATCCGACATGAAAGAGGAATAAATTATAGTCAGTGTTTCGATAGCATGCACGCGAGGGATTGTGGGCCGGCGTACGTTATGTTTGATGTATGCCTGCATCTTCCACCTAACTTTATACACAAATGTTCATCTCCATCTCCACCACGACATGCAACGCTCGCCAATAAACTACTAACTATTTCTACATCGCTTATCGTTATGCTGGTTTTAAATTACGTTCAGTTGTGTATATATCCATGTATAAAAATTATACATGGATAAACACTACTAACGATACTCGGTCGTGTATTAAGTATCGGTAGGTTAATGTTTATGTATTTACATTTGTTTGTACTGTTTTTGTATTGTATTTTGTATTGTATATTTTGTCATCAACACAAGTGTTCTAAAAATGCAATGCAGTTCAATATTAAAAATTGAACGACCAACACCCATTATTTTTCCAATGGAGTTAGTTGATTTCGTAATAACCTGTCAACATGAAGTTGTGTGTGATATAAAATCGGCGATCTATCAGTTGTTCCTCGTGTTATACATTCTTAATGATTTAGAGTAAAGTATTATTAAATTTTAAATGTAGGTTATTTTTCTAAAACTGTTAATTAACATCATATTTTTTTTGGAAAATAGTTTAAATAAAGAAACACATTTCATTTCAATTTTATAAGCAAATTTTATTTTTAAATATAAATTTCATAATTTTATAAAAGTTTCAAGGCAGTCAAAAAATAAACTCACAAAAAAAATTGCTGATTTTGAATAACATCTCCTGTTGATCAAATTTCATATGAAACAAATTTTGGAGTGACAGCAGAGCGGTCACAGATGCATTCAAATGCACGCACACTTTGCGGAGTTGGGCACGATACGGTGTCTCCTGTTAGCCAGCAATTCAATATCAGAAAGATGACTGGTGTTGTATTTGCATTCTTGGACTACTCAGTTTAATATTTGGCATTTGTTAGATTAAATAATAATTATATCAAAATAACTATTTTTTATTATTTTTATTTATGAAAAACATTTTTTTTATCATTTTATTTATTATCCTCTGTGCGTGTGTGTGCGTGTGTGTGTGTCTGTTTGTGTGTGTGTGTATGTGTGTGTGTGTGTGTGTGTGTGTGTGTGTGTGTGTGTGTGTGTGTGTCCAAGCACCAGTCACGATAGTATGGATATCTTCAGTCACACGGCACCTTCTTCCAAGATAATGTTAACAGTGCACATTTCTGAACCTACACACACACACATAAATAGATCCATTATCATGTCTGGGCATAAAACAAGCGAAAATAATTGAAATGTATACAGATATAAACCAGCAAACGTCAACACATTACGTAATAAAGGGACTATAAAATGTAAGAATACAAAGACTGATAATTATTCATTCTGTGTGTTTGTGCATGTTGTATTATACGTTGGGTTGCTGATTTTGTTCTGTTTTATTACTTCTGTGCCTGCTTCTCTGGAATCGCTCAACTTCTTGAATGTATGTATGTTTGTTTGTTTTGTTTGTTTGTTTGTTTGTTTGTTTGCTTGCTTGTTTGTTTGTTTGTTTGTTTGTTTATTCGTTAGTTTGTCCGTCCGTTTGTTCATTTCATTTACTTGTTTATGTTTTTGTAAATCTTGATATTTAAAAATGTTAGAATATTTTGAGAGATGATCGTTTGTGCTTAGTAATGAGAAAGCTACTTTGAATATTATTGCCCGTTCATGCTGGAATGTTCAAATGTTTTAAAACTTTTATATCATACGACTTTTACATTTTTGATCAAAAAATAATCTCTGGATGTATCTATGAAATCTAGCCAATAACAATTTTAAACGTCACATTGAAATCAATAATTTAAATTCCTTATTCAAAATTTCTCTTGTCAGCTAAATCAAAATGCATCTAACGATTTTTTCTTACATGCAACGTCACTAAAGTGAGTTGGGTCCGGGAAGTGACGGAAGAACATGCAAGTGAGAACATGGAGAAATATCCAGACATACATCCTCCCCCATGATAACTGAGATGATGAGATGTGCGCGCGCGTGTGTGTGTGACAGTACCTCTTAATATGCTCTTCAAAATTGTGTCGTCATGTGTGCATGTTGTGTGTGTGTGTGTATGTGTGTATGTGTGTGTGTGTGTGGGTGTGTGGATGTGTGTGTGTGTGTGTCCTTGCAATGCCTGCGAGGTTAGTGGCGAAATGAAGACTTGTCTTTCTGCCAAATGATACAAGTAGACAGACTTTGTTATTGGTGGCATTTTATTTTAGTAAAAAATATTTCTCACTGCACTGAAAAGGATTGTAGAGACTAATTGTAAGACTACTCGACTCGTGTTCTGTCTGTGGAGGAAGAATGTATTTTTGATTACTTATCTTGATCAACTTTTCTGGTTTTTTGCAAATTTTATTCTCAGTAGAATGTTTGGAGGTTTGGTTATCTTAGTTCACAGTCATCGACTACTACAGCTTCTTTGTGAATAATTTTTTAATTTCTTTAATTTTTTACCATTTTTTAATTAAACAATATTTCTAAAAAATGAAGATTAAATGAGAGATTTTGTGGCTAATGATCGCCATCTACTTAGTTTATTTTACACTACTCTTCTAGACGAGCATTAATATTTCAAGCGCTCAGTTCTGCAATTTTGAAAAATGATATTAGTACGTGGATTCGGATTTTTTTTTAAATTGCAATAAAAATGTTACAGAACTGCATAAATAATCAATTCTTTTAAAAGTTTCCTACCTTTGTTTACCACAAAGTATTTCAAACTTGAATTACAATTTCATTTTTTAAAAATAATGATATATAAGCTGATGTTTGGAGACCAAATAAAAGAAAGTATCAAATATGAATGAAATATGAATGAAAACTTATATGTCCCATGTATACAGCTTATAATTTTGCGTGAATGTCGAATTGTTACAAATTACCACAAAATATAAAATCATTAGGTAGAAATCATTTCAACATCATCAAATGTGGCAATAGATTGAATGTATAAAGTGAGAAGAAAGTGATGAACATTGTTCCCAATTAAATGCCAAAAATTTGAGTGACAAACGCATAACCTCGTGAAGAACAATTTCTAAATGTCAATCAAATTTTTCAAGTGTCATTTTGTGCTGATAATTTTTCTCTCTCAAATGTTTCAATTTTTCAGTGGCATGTGAATATTTTGAAGAATGCCATGATCTGTGTGTTTTTTTTATGTCACGTTCAACCTTATACGATAATTTCATAAAATTCTTACAGCATTTCATTTTCAAACTATCAAAGACTATCTTTCTTTTAAACACCTGACATTTGAAGCAGAGTAAATTAGGCTGTGGAAAATTTAATATTGGTAAAGCTGTTTGAAATTATTTACTTAATATTAAAATGTTAAACAGCATTTTGAATGACATTAGTTATTGTTATTAATAAATAATTAATATTAAATAAATAATTCTAAAGAGTAATTAGCCTCCACGTAAAAATATGAAAATTTGTTGGTGTTGGAAAAAGATTATTAGCAATTGTTTGCCTTGGTTGTTTGGCTTGGCACTACCAAGGTTATAAAAATTGAATAACCTGATATTAGAAGTTCGTGACGCATGAAATAATCTATCCAGCTGTACTTTTTATTTTGCTTCCGCTCGGACGCAACAGTTTCAGAAATTGAAAAATTCTTTAAAAATTATGAAAAAATATTTGAAATGATGGAAGTTGGTGGTCATACGTGACCTCGCGCGCGTATCCATCTTGCTGGTTTTATTGCTCGTCTCCCTGACAATGGCATGCACATCGCATTATTCAAACGGATTATAGCTTCATTGACAAATTTGCCCATTCATAAAAAATACTATTTCTACTGTTGCTTCTGAGAAGTAATCTTTTTCCATATTATTCATGCCTAAATATGACAGTTCATTATGTTTGGCTCTTACGAAAACGAGAAATACTTTGATGAAAGTTTAATAACATTTTAAAATAAGCCAGTAATTTAAAAAAAAAAAAACAAAAAAAGATTTTTTTAGTTTTGTAAAGTTTAATACGTCCGTTGACACATTTTAGATCCTGTACCGAAAAGCATAAGCAATGGTTTTCTATAATTTTTGCATAAATTTGCCTTAATCATCCCATAACTCCTGGTGAACATTAAAAAGGCGTAGACACATGAAACATTAAGAAGAAGAAACAACCTAGCCGCCGTCGTTTTATTGCTCATGGTTGTAACAGGCAGGCACGTTTGTATATTATATATTGAAATAAATATTTCGTATTATAAAAAAAAATTAATTCACACGAAACGAAGACAATGTAATGTGTAAGTAGGTCTTTGAAAAATAGACCGTTTTTTTTTTGTTCTTTTGTTATTTTTGTTTCGTTTTCATTTGCAGTCGCTGGACAACAACGAGCGGACGAAAGGTCAGGTCTGCTCCAGATCCATTCTCATTGGACGATTGATCATTTCATTGAACTATGAACGAGGTCAGTGCATACGCTTCGATAGTCTGCATGGTCATCATGATGCAAAAATATTTTTAAACTCTCCTATGTTGACTGGAAATTAATTGACAAAAATTTTAAATGATTTTATTTTAAATGAGAATATGAAAATGTATTTTTTTAAATTAAATCAGATGTAATGAAATAATTACTTTTTTGATACTAATTTTTTTACTTTCATCCTTTTTTGTCCACTTTCGATTTCATTTTTTAAAATTTCTAAATCAATTTGAAAAAGTCTATAGTGATGTTGTTACTTGAATAAATTTTCAAGATGTTGCAGTCCAGATAGCAACTGACAGAGGTCAGGACATTTCAAAAGAAATCAAATCAAAAAGAGACGCTAGCCACCAGCAGACAGATTCCTTACTATCGGAACTGAAACCTGACTGGCCACAATTTTTTCAACGCAGTAACAACACTCGACTGAAGTCACCTCATCTCTTTAAAGCAATTTTGGCATCGCATAGAGTCTCAGTCAAACCTGGCTCCTACTTCTGGGAGGAAGTGAAGTTCTACTCGGAACTGATTGAATCGTTCCTGGTGTGGCTGCAACGTGAGTTGCACAAATGTGCCAAACAATCGTTCGCTATTGAACTTTTGTTTTCAAAACGTGGACAATCAATTAGTGAAAATAAGGATGTTGGAAATGATGATGCCGATTACATTGGTTACAATGATGACGATTATGATGAAAACTTTCATAGACATCCAAGTCTTCACGAAACATTGCACTCGTTCAGCTACCTCATGACTTCACTGGCTTACTTGGGGGCAGAGCAGGCCATGTGTTCTTCCTTCCATTCAGTCGTTTGCTTCAGCCACACAGAGACCTACCACTACGCAAATTACACTTTCAGTGCGGAAGCTCTGTTCAGGCTCTACAAATTTTCTTTAATTAACACAAAGCACTATCATAGTTTTGGCAAACTTGGTGAAAAAAATAATTACCTCAAAGAGGCAAAAGACGATTTTCACGACTCTAACAACATCAACCACAAAGCATTCAGCAGCATTCACCTTCCAATTCATTCAAAATCACACGAAAATGAAAATGAAAAACTACTTACAAACAAATGGTCATCTTCCGATTACAAATTAATTTTCCCAGAATTATCTTACTGTCGGCAGGAAATTTTAGCCGACCTGGACAGCGTGGGAGCACCTCTCCTTCCCTCGAACTGCAACCAGGCCCGAAGAAACGACACGAGTGTCAGCGAGGTCAACATTGTCGTTGCGAGAGAATTTGAGTATCTAACTACTTTACTTGAAAAACTGTTGATCAGGCGAGTAGAAAATGTAACGTATTCATTCTTCATATCAACAACAGTTTTGATTTCCGTTGCCATTTATGTGATCACTGTACATTTAATACGTTACGCATACATAAAATTCAAAAAACCGAAATTGAAACGAAAAAAGAAACAGCTACGATCGAATCTAAACACACCGAACAACACGACAACTTTGTCGACAGCAACATCGGCGGTCAACATGGCTCAAATTAACGATGAGTTGTCTAATCAACCAAAACTTTACAAACAATCGCTTCAACAAATTCCTTTGCCTCCTTCGCAGCCAGCAACGCAACAAAAATCTACCAAACAAAACCTTCTGTCTTGCTCCAACAACATTCATTCAACGCTTCACGTCAACCACGTCTTCACTCATGACCAACAGCAGAACATTTACACACCAACACAATTTCAAACCACATCTATTCAAAAACTTAACCAAACTTTGCCATTGAGACATTATTCTTCGCAACTACAATTTCAACTTCTCAACCAGCAAAAACAGCTGCCACAACAACAGCTACAACAACAACAACCACAACAACAGCATCAATTTCAGCAACACCATCAAAAAGAGTTGTTAACTCTACCGAACCACAGTAACTCACTACAACCAGACAAACTTCACTTGAAAACTGACAACCAGCATGTGGTGAGCCTCGGTGCCTTGAAAGTTGCCTCCGTCTGAAACAGCAGCCACCCTGCTAGAGTTTTCCTTCGTTTCTTCTCATCCTGTGATCCACATTCAACGACAAGTAACAAATTTAGAACGTTATGATTGAAATTCTCACAAACGACAATCCAGTACATTGTTATTTTTGTTATACGGATGGTTTCATCAGTGTCGTCATAATCAACATTATCAGCAATTTGTTGTTTAACTATGTCAGCAGATTGTAGGAGGCTGCTTTTCTTGCAATCATTTCTGTATTTGGGCACTTTTTATTTTTTCAAATGATTTATTTTCGTATCAGCACACCCATTACTATTTTTTTGTTTGACATTTTTACAATCCTAAAGTAATTGCAATCAAATTTACAATCCCTATTTCAAAATATAACCAGTGGCAAATCTAGTTTTTGTATTAAAAGAGTAAAACTCATTGTTTTAGCAAAAAAAGAAAAAAAGCACAGTGTTTTACCAAAAATTGACGTGATAAACAAAAATAGGTCATCAGTCTAATTTTGACTTGACCAAATGTTGGCTCCCGTCAAAATTTAAACATTTTCAAAACTATGGCCCCCTCGTCAATGTTCCTAGATCCGCCACTGAATATAACGATAACTATATAAATGTACAACGTTCATTTCAAGCTGTCGTTTCTTGAAGACGTTTTTTAATTACAATTTCAGAAAAATATTAACACCCAAAAAACAAGACTGCGTTAACTTAACAGAATCATTTGAATTCATTGCTCTTATTTCAGTTTCGTTTCGTTCAGCCACTCAATGTTCTAGCACGTCGCGTGACTAACTTCTTTAATGTATGTCCAACTTGTTCAAATAAATGTACTGCAATCATTAAGTGTTTTCTTTTCCGATGAAATTAAAGTTTTTAAACAAATTCGTTCACACTGTGCTTGTAAGCTAAAACTTTTGTATAAAATAATTAATTCATAATTACATATTATGAGTAACATAAATTGTTTAGAATAAATAAAAGAACTGTGAAAAATTGAATATTACTTCGCAATATAGCATAGCAACCTTTTTGAATTGAAAACTAGAAAAATTCAGTTTTTCCAAAGGTCTGTATTATGTGAGATTGTATTGTGTAAAACTATATAAAAATCAGTCCAGAAGTGTAGTCTCAATTTTCAAATACTTAAGTATTAAATGTTTCAATTTTATTTTAATTTCGCGTTATTTTTTTTAAAGTAATTTCATTTTCACTTAAGAGCATTCAAACTTTAACTTCAACACTCTAATATATGCTTAACTTTAGAAAATATTTTTTGGTCTTGCCCAACAACCGAAAAGCAATTTGAAATACAAAAATGAAACCTGTATGTAACATTTTTCAGACGTTAACCAACCAGAATAGAAAAAAATTGTTAGATTCAACGAACATATCAAAATAAAACAAAGTTTAGAGAATAAAAATAATTTCTGAATGAAATATAATTTTTGAAAAAGCCAAAATTAAGGTGGTTCTTTTAAGGTAAAAATTACTGTCAGAATTGCAATAGAGCTGATAAAAAAGATTAAAATGTGTTTACTATGTATCTCAGGAGGAAACTAAACCACGTGAACAAACAATGTTAATCTAGGATCTGAAAAACAAAACGGCATAGCTAAATTAACAAAAATTATTTTTCAATTTTCTTTTCTTTTACCTTTTGTCAATTTTTTCGAGTTTGAATTTATTTTTTAATTTATTCCCATGTAAAGTTTATTTTTTTGTCGTGTTTTAGATTTTGTCTCTTAATATCAATTTTTACAAACTTATTTTGCGCATATACTTGAAATTTAATCCCAAATTCACGTAAAAAAAGTATTTTTGTTTAATTATTCTATTTTAAAAAATGAAAAGAAAGAATAGGTTGTTGGAATGCAGTGATCCAGTAACACTATCATAAATAGTAATAACTACGTAAGGCTTCCACAAACATATATTAAAAAATTATTAAATGGGTACCGCAATGAAGTTTGATAGGAAATCGCCTTATAGTATGAAATGGACGAGTTGATGACAGACAGGCTGTCAAACAAGGTCAACGCCGTTCACGATCAAATCTGCTGGGTTTGGTATTTATTGAAAATATTTATTAAAAACAAAATTGCGATCGCTTTTTGAATACATTTTATTGTTTTTTTATAAATTGTATCGAATTAAGAAATAATGTTAATTTATAAACAAGCGTTAATTGTTAACCGCAGACCGGCACCTTAAAATGGTTCTAGAACGTTTTAAATATGTAACGTTTTCATTTTTCATTGAGTAATCATCGTCATAAACCACCATCAAGTCAGATTTTTTCTTTATTGATATGAAACTTCAAAATTACAGATTTCGAAAATTTCACCAAAACCAAACAATTGAGAAGACACTTGCCATGTATGGTCACACCTATGCATTTTCCAGAAACCAGCATTCAAGTTCAAATTGAGGGAATATGAAAACGTTTATTTTGACCATGGCAGCAGCATATTTAGGATTTCATCAACGAATTTTTATCATTGTGTGAAATCCGTAACGACACGGTTTGCATATTCAAAAATCGTTAATCAAGTTTTGAAACAACTGAATTTTGCTAAAGTTAAAAGTGGTTGAAAGAAATGTTTAAGTCAATCCAGTAGGGCGACCAAGAGGGGGTGGGGATCCATAAGTTAGGATGGGTCGGGTCAAATCAAATCAAATTTTATTCAATCAATCCAAATTAATAATAATTAGGTAATGATTAGGAGACCAAAGCTAAAAGAAAACAAAATTCTAGTGTCGCAGGCCGCCGTTCACAAATTGTTCATTCTAACACAATTTTTAAGTAAATTTATAATTCATGACAAAATTAACATAATGCACAATTTACATGATTCTAATTAAATAAAAATTGTACTTTTTTTCAATAAATATTTCTTTATTTTGTTTTTAAACAAATGCAAGGAATTTGTAGCCTTTATATCAACAGGAAGTTTCTCCCAGATTCCGGGACCGGTATGTTTTAAACTTCCACCAAGCAGTGTTATTCTTGCAGGTGGTGTATCGAGCAGAGGAGAATGTCGAGTGAACTTTGACTGCACAGCATTTCCGAATTCGAAGAAGTCATTAAAAGATGTTGGTAATTGATAATGTAGGAACTTGAACACAAAGATAGAAACATGATAATTATACAAATTTTTTATGTTTAAAATTTTCAGTTCAGAATAATAACAGCTGACATGACTATATGGATGACTATATGGGTCGTTTTTAACTAACGAAATAAATTTCAGATAATTTTGATCGTTCATTTTAGAACGTAAAATTTATCGTTTTATGTTTTAATTAATTAAATTTAATAATGTATGTAGGAACCTGCTCAATAGGATAGATCGAGAAAAAATTTTCTGCTGTGGAGAGTTATAAAAAATTGCACCCGATGAATATTAATGAGAATTAAACAAAAAATTACAACATTCATCTTATCGCACTTGTTGCCAGAGGATTAGATATCGTTCATACATGTGCCGTGTGTTCTAAATCAAAACATTACTACAATGCTTATTGTTTGAACTGAAAGTTAATTGAATGTACAGCATGGTAAATGCTTTGGTTGTTAACTTCAACTACCATGATCGCAAACATTTCTGCAAATGTTAATAACACAAATTCCGTCAACATTACTTTTTATGAATCATAAAATTAGAAAATTAATTTAAGACTACTAACTCCGAGAATGAAACTTAATAAATTATTATTTAGTGATAATAAAATGTGAATTGATGGCAATGTTTTTAATAAATGAGGAGAAGAGAGGCGTGACAAACGTTTAACGAGCAAGTTTTACAACTCTTTATTTAATTTTATGGCGTGATAGGACGGAAGTAAATTTTATGTTCCGCTTGCTCAGGTGGGTTCTGCAGTCTCGTGAGCATCGTGTCTTCGAGAGAATCACATCCCGACAAATTAAAACGTTCCATTTCAATTTTAAAGTTACTCTCTTTTATTTTTGTTTTATTGAAATAAATTTTAACCGTGATAATTGTTTTGTTTTTCTTTTCTGTTGTTCCATTTATTTATTTTAAATTTTCGAAAATTTTTCAGCAACGTTCCACTTTTAGGTTAGGGAAACAAACAGATTTTATGATCTTAATTATTTACGACTACAAAATTAGCGTGCAACTTTGCTGTCAATTTATGTGACATTTAAAAAAAATTTTGTTTCCATAAAAATTTGTGAAAGTTTGATAAAACCACCATAGGACTTACAGGAATTTCATGAAAAAAATTATTTTTCTAAAAAAAAATGGAGATCTGTTCCAATATTCTTTAGGTAAAAATGTTGATTAAAAAAATACAAAAAATTTTTTAAAAATCTGCCCTCAAAACTTGAGAATTATATTAACCTTCAAACTGACAAACTGATTTTTATGCTCCGTCAGAAGCCAATTATCGCGCCACACTTGAAGATGGGAACGCCTTCGTTTTCCTGATCATTTTCAATTTTTTGAAAAATCTTATGCTGACAATTTGTGTCCACGACACTGTGAATTGACGTTACCGTTAAATTTTTCAATTGAAAAACTTTCAATGAAAAACTGGTTTATTTTATGAAAATCTGATTCTTGAATAAAATGTCCATTTTCTAAATACCATTAAGCCGGTCGACCCACTTTATTTATTTATTCACATATTCACACAGGCGTTGACTAAGAAATTTTTTTTTTAAATAACTCAAAAGTTTTTATTTTGTACACGTAATTCATTCAACTTCAACTATATTTTTCCTTAGTTAGTAATTTTATTATTTGTGTTTTTTAGGGTTTTGCATGTCTCATTTGATCGAGCCTGTGAAATATTTTCTTAAGAAAAGGAAATATATCTATATTTGCGTCAAGATCAATTTTTAAAAAATTATTAAAATATTTTAATGGCATAAAATATTGTGGGCTATCATAAAATACATATTTACAATAGCGAACAAATTAGATAAATTATTCACAAATCGGTGTTCTGTGGGTTGGTGGGCACGGCTTTCAAGAGAACGACACCGGTGGCCTCAACGTACACCTTAATTATTTGATATGGCATAAACAATCCCAGAGATTTCATTTCAAACACTTCAAAAATTTCATAAATCTGATCTGGTCGAACGGTGGGCAGTGAGGAGAGGGAATACTCAGTCAATATGGGATTTCCGTTGTTAGCGGTGCTCATAATGGCGATAGCAATGCTTCCGCGTGGCAGGACTGGTTTCTGCCACACTGAGATGGATCCGCTCTGAAAAAAATTGCCAATTTGTTTTTTATGGTGGTTTTAAAACAACGACAGTAAAAAATTTAACACATTAAACTAATTATTGGTTTCAAAGTGTGATAAACATTTTGAGTTACATTTTTAACCGAAACATTGAATTTAATGTAATATATCCAACTTATGTTGTATGGTTAAATCTTAATTACTCTTTTTCAAAACTATAAAAACCTCCAAAAAATGTTTAGTAAAAAAGAGACCTGCAAGTATCTGGTGCCCTGGATTCCCAGGGGATCCTGGTTGATGGCGATGACGTTTTTGTTGAGGAGGATGTCTCGGGAGGATTTCTTAACGTTTCTCAAGTCGTTGGACATCAGCATCGGGGAGACCATAATCGCCCACATCGCCATTTGAACTTTTTCCTGCTTTTCGGAGAGGCCACTGTTGCCTATTGTCAACTGCAAGAATTGTTTTTGGAAGTTTTAAAAATTCTTAACGAGAAACCTTGGCAGTGATAATTGTTGATGAAATATTTTACATGAAAACTAAACTCTAAATCATAAAAAGTATTCAAAGTCATAAAAAATTTTATTGTAAAATGTTTCATCAATATAAATCAATCTTGCAGTAATTACGACTTAACAAAGCACTGAAATTTTTGTGGGTCGTAATAGGATCATCAAAACATCCGGCAACATTCTACTTTTCAAATTCAATCTTAAGTATTTCTAGCAAGCTACCTTTGAATTTAAAACAATAAAAACTTAACAAGCATGCTAACTACATCCGGATCGTTCCAGGATCCTGGTCCGACCACGGATGAGAAGTTGTAAGGATTGGAGCCCCAGTAGAGTATCATGCTTTCAACGCTGTGGTAGTTTATGTAGATGTCAGTCAGCGCTCGGAACATGTTGCAAGTCTTCGCTATGGCTGTATAGTTCACCTTCAAAGTTCATTTTGTTGTCTTCATTTTAAAAATCTCAATAATTATTTTATTTGCTATTTTTTATAATTCCAAGTGATATATTTATTCAGTTTTTGAAAATATTTTAATTAATTATGTCGTCATTTAAAAAAAACTTTGTTCTTGATTTTTAACAAACACATTTTAAATAAAAAAAGGCATTTTTTATGAAAACAAGCCAGGCATCTGAGCCACAAATATAGAAGAGGAACCGCCCACCTCGCCACCGAAGTACTTGGCATACATGGGCCACTGGCAGGAATAAACTATTGGACGACCCGTCTTGTTTAACGCTCTGGCCATTGCTGGGAAATCTAAATGAGCAGCCGGAGTTAAATTTATTCGCGCTGTTTTTCCAATCAAATTGGTATGAGAAATAATGATTTGATAAATTTGAAAAGTCTCAAAAATGCATGTTATTCTCTTCAACTATTTACAATACAAATACGAGTTGCAGTGCATGCAAGGCATCATGTATAGTACAATTGCGAAATTAGTCTAATATTGTATCGAATCTTTTGCTACGCATTGTCGTTTCTTCTAAACATATCTATACTTTAGAAGCCGATTTGCCATTTTATAATAATTTTCATTTTTAGCAATTCTTTAACAGAGCAATAAAAAGTAATTACTAACAGGCTACTTTTCCAAATTTGTTTTCATTTGTAGAGAAGAATGTTTTGGTCTTAAAATAAAAAGCGTCTAACTAACAAACAGTGAAAATGCGTAAAATTTTGAGACCTCTTGCGTAATCGGTGAGATTGGCATGACATCCATCGAACTTGATCATGTCCACACCCCAGTCTGCCATCGTCTGCGCGTCCAGATCTATGAATCCATGGGAGCCTGGATAGCCCGCACACGTCTTCACCCCAATATCCAAGTACAAACCTAATTTCAATCTTTTGCTGTGTACCTGCAGTTTACGATCAAAATTAAAAAAAACTATGTTTTTTTAAATAAATTAGGTATTGGTTAATTTTAATATTAATTTTCATAATTTTTATAGACATATAATTGTTAATAAAGTTTCAACGAATGCACATTTCACAGTTTTATTACACTTCAAACTATTTGATGAACGCTTCAACATATGAAATGTTCATAGTTCTAAATTTGGTGGACGCAAATTTTCGGAGAAACGTAAAATTAAATTTGAAGACGTAACTTTGTAAATGAAGTATTGAGCGAGTTATGTCTAACATAATCAGCCAGTGCCTTCATCCCACTCGGAAATCTTTTTGCATCAGCTTGCAGTCTGTTGTTGGCGTCTCGACTCATTTCCATCCAGCAGTCATCAATGGATAAGTAGTTGTATCCTGCATCCAAATATCCATCTTCCGCCATCCTGTCTGCAATCTGAATGAAGAGGCGCTCGCTAGGAGGTGAAAAAACCTCAGCTAAGTTGAAATTTTGTAAAGGTGTGAATAAGCCGACTACTTTCGAATGTTTTATAACAGGTAGTGATGAACCGACTGAGAACTAAACTAAGTGTACTTATAGGTTAATGGTTATAGAGTATATGGATACATGCTAAGCAACACATCAAACACAAAGCATGAGATAGGCGGAAATTTTTTGTCATTTTCGAACCCGGTTACTGCGAAACAGCACCAGGCGACCTTAACCACTAGGCCATCACACCGTCACCCTTACTGACTTTTCATGATGCACCCTTGTAATTCAAATGAATGCCCTATCAGGCATTGTTTGTAAATTTATTAGAAATTCTCAATCTCGATAACTTGTCCCAAAATGCATGATAGCAATGACATGTCGAAATTTACACATTTTCTGAATCAACGCTCTCCTACACATACTAACACCGAATGATTATATGGCTGGTTTTTATAAAGCCAGGAATTTGATCATAAGAAATTTTAAAATAAAATAAAGACGTGAATCGCTTTAACAGTCTTAAAGTCTGCATAGTTGACATTAATTGGTTACAAATACAATGCATGGCATAACATTCATTAAGGAATTTTTGTAGATTTATTTGATACATAGTGAACAACAGTGCGACAATAATTTCAAGCATGTAAGAAGATTTAAAGGGAATTTTTGAAATAAATCAATAATTTATACTACATCCAATTTTATTGTTAGTAATTACCATTATCAAATCATTATCACTTTTAAATTACGAAATAACTATCTCAATGCTGATAAATTTATTATGTACATTCATAATCTGAAGCACTCCAAAGGAGTCAAATAAACTTGCATTGTTTTAAATTTTTGGCAAATTATCTCAAATTGTGATAATTTCGCGTTCAAAACTTATAATGTTTACCATTTCAAACTAAGAACCTTTCTTATGTTTGTGTGCTAAAAATCTTTCTTTGAAAATTTTACATTTGATATTCAACATCGATATAACGAATGATATGACGATTGCAATCTGAAAATTTTTTCAGTGGGTTACGTCAAAGATTAATTTTGCAACATGATGGCTTGAAAAAGTTCAACGTCACAACAGTAACCTTATGCAGTTCTCCGGATCGAGATCACAGCGATAGGAACAGAGGAATCTCAGCCATGACATCCATCCCATGGGGGGAGTGAGAGCCAGTCCATTGTCCAGGGCCCATGAAACATCGGATGTGAACGCGTTCAACAACAATATCAATATCCACCTACAACTTTTCGTCATCTTGCTTTTAATATTAACTGCTTTATTAATATTAGTATCTCGTATCTAAAATTGTTGACCTTAACATTGACAGTAGTAAATTTTTTTAACAATTTTTGAATTCGAAAATACAGTGGAAATATTATTCTGCTTCAAGTTTTAATATAATAAACTAACATTAAACTTCAAACATACGTACATACGTATGACTGAAACTTTGATTAAGACGAAATCGCAAACTAGGAGATTTATTTATAAACAATGCTCCTGACAGTATTTACATTATCATTAATTGTTTTCATTGTTCAGCTGACTGAGCCATTTTTTTGCCATGACTCAAAACATGACAATCTTGTTTGTGAGAGCTCATAAACGTTTTCTCGATTTGTGAAAATGTTCAAAGTGGTTGTTCTTCATTCTCTTACGAACAAACAAACAAGGGGAAAAGTTAACAGCTGGATTTAATATTTGAACAATGTTTAACTATAATTTACAAATGAAGTTAATTCTATGTTCAGCTCTTCATAATTTGGTGTATGTTAAAACAAATGTGATTTGCTGAAAAATTCACTAATACTGAATGATGACAATGCAAATTTTTGCAAAATTTATTTTAATCATGCACTCAATCGATTGAAAAAATAAAATCTTCTAGGGAGTGAAAAAAATTTAATTTATGACATACTTGCCCACATATGCTAGTAAAAATAAATTGGCTTGTGATGAAATAAAAATAAAGTTTTTTAAAAATCATTGTCTGCGTAATTAGTGGAAGGTTCAAGGTTAGTTGAGTTATGACGATCTCGCTAAACCAACTGAAACTGTCAAAGGTCGGTTGTTAAAAAAATAAAAATAAATTAAAAATAAAAATATATAATAAAATAAATATGGCTATACATATCTCTGCAACATTGAAGCTGATTTTGATAATTTGGAAGTTATTAAAGTTGTTGCAGCTTCTAGTTTCACATAAACTCTTTAAATATTTCGAGGTGTTTGAAATTTTAGGGAGCAACACTGCTAACAGCACCAATGAAAAAGCGCAAAGCACAACGTTATTTCAACAACAAAGGAGTCATAATTTTACTTTATTAATCTTTTTTCCGATAATTCAGATTAAGTAACAAGATTGCTTGCTAGTTCTTAGATGTAAAAATTTAGGAACGTGAATTTCAATTACTTTGTATCTTGTAGCAAAAACATGCTATTTATAAAATATTAATTTGGAAATTTTATTAAAAATACTTTTGTCATAAATTAAAAATTAAAGTATTTTCTGTTGAACAAATTATATTTGAAAAAAATTTTATCACGTAATTTATTGGAAAGTATACAATTCTTAGGTATTATTATTGCGAGCAATTTAAATTGGGAAGATCATATCTTATAGGTATATTAAAAAAATATTCAAAAATATAGATGATATATATAAATTAAAGATGTCATTGCCTAAACATATTCTCATTAATCTTCACTATTCTTTCGTATACACTTATATGGAATTATTATTTTGAGTCGTCAGATTAAATGTCATATGTTATTACTAACTGGTCGTCAAAATTTTTTATTAGAATTTGTTATAATTTATAAAAATGTGACCACATTTTTTTTTATTTTCACAGTCTGGCTTGCTATCTATTTATCAGTTGCATATTTCAAGGGTTTAATTTTTTCCCATAAATTAATTGTTTTAAATAAGTATCCTAGGATTCATTCATTCTTAATGACGTCATCTTCGGTTGGTGTTCCGGTGTATCCTTCCATTCTACCACGTACTGCGTTGCATTCTAATTTTGTTATAAATTTTGGTGTGAAGTTGTGGGAATGGCTGCCATTTGATTCGACGTTGGGAATAAGTTTGGTAGTGATTAAGAAAAGGGTTATTGAATTGTTGCTGGCTAATTATTTTGCTTAGTTTTAGGTCCATTGGCAGTGACTTCCTGTATAAATTTTGAGTGTCATTTGCTTTCTTGTATTTATTTCATTTTTTCATTATCTTGGTGTCTTTTGGAAATGCTTTTTATTTTGTATTTTTGTTTGACGATACAAGCCCATAGTGGGCTTTTGGTCTGTGTTTTTGAAATAAATTAATTAATAAAAAATAAATATAATAAACTCAATTACGATGGAAAAAGTTTAAACAACTTTATATCTGTTAATTATCGTTGTCACAAGAATTACACACAATCAAATAAACTGTTAAACAATGAAACTTTCAAACATTAAAAACTCCTATTATATATATAATAGTTTAACGTGTTAGATCAAACAAAATTTGCTGTCATTGTATGGGATTTTAACAAAGCATTAAACAGCAGCTAATATAGTCTTAAGTTGTTAGATTAAAATATCAATAAACAACAAACAGGAATATATAATAATATAGGTGACAAAAATGATAAATTTAAATTAAAAATAAAATATTATGCCAGTTTAGTAAAAGCTTGTCCAATAAAATCCAATAAGTATTTAAAAATGTGCTTTGACTAATTTGATTCCAGCGAATCAGCAATCATTCAGTGAAGGAAGATGAACATTGGAAATGGAGTGGAGAGCAATTATTTGCATGGCACGTTTCAATCAACCTGCAAACACGAGCGTTTCTCCGCACTTGGCAAATAAGAGCCAGCCAATCACGGCCGCCCATGCATCATCAACAGCTGTGATTTGTTCTTTTCAATCAAACTAACCGCCATGCGGTAGGTGCGCTCTATAAAATTGAATTAAATAAATTTTGAAAAATTATGGTAAATTATTTGTGAGTGAGTGTTCAGCGGATTTTGAAAACATGAGTCAGACCCCAGACACTGCGGTTAAACCAATTTTGAAGTTTTCTATCGATGCCATTTTAAACAGCGACGCAAAAAATAACAGTTAGTGGAATTTTAAAGAACTTTTAATATTAGATAAAATATTAAATTTATTTTGAATTATATAAAAAAAATTATCTGCTGAAGCTGAAAAGGGCAAACAAAATAATGTCGAAAAGTACGTGAATCATTCAAAGACGCACAATAGAGAGCCAATTTTGGCACTTGAAACAAATCCAAGTTTCTATCAGCCTCCCGAACTTTCATCACTATTGCAGTGCTACAATTTGTGTTGCTTGCAGTCCTCCAAACGGTCCCACTACTACAAATATCTTTCCAGATACTTCTTTCCAGGTTTTTTTTATATTAATTTCTTTTCACCATCTCATAAATAATATTTCATGTGTTAAAACACAGCTATATTAAGATGTTATTCTGTCGTTACTCTATTCCAATTGTTAAGGAAAGCTGGGAAATGTTGAAACTACTTGTAGACATTAATAATGAAATATTGATTTTCTAAATCAATTGAAAAACTCTCTATAATATTTCAAAAAGACAAACACAGGCTTTTATCATTAGCTCGATCTCTACTCATTAATGCAGTAGGGTAGGCTTTTTCCATGAATAATCGGTTTATACTAATCAGCTTCTTTAAAAAATTGTGTTTGTAATTACATCATTTTCAGAAGTTGGGGGAGTTGGGATTACTAATTTATTTAAAAAATTTTTAAGTATCTAACTAGCGTCCAGAACGAGACGTGAATAATTAAAAATGTTAAATTTCATTCAAGTATTTTTATTTTAGGACATAATTTATTGCTGGTAGAAAATAATAAGTATATATTCCAATTAACATACATATACATGCATTTGAAACAATACATTTTGGAGTTTAAAAAATGATTGTTCTCTTATTTAACAAAATCATTCGAGTAGAAACTTACCAAAGTCGGCATTACCTCAGATACTTTCATAATGTAGAGAGCAATCCATGCAAATTAGCCAGCAATGCGGTGGAAAGGCGTTTCAACCGAGCACACCGACCCATTAACGTCCCTGAGTAATACATATGACGATATTTCATGACTATACAAGAAAGAATAACTAAAAAAACACATTTTTTAACAGATGCGAACTGTAACTCGTGCACAAGCAATCTCTTTGGAATAAGAAAAACATTACCTTCTCTTTCTCAAACAAAAGTTGACCCTTTCCAAGCCCAATACAGACAACAACAACTGCATCAGATTTTATTTGTTCCAAAGCAGCAGCAGCAGCAACAACAACAACAACAAAACCACTTCTTCAGACAGCAGAACAGAACCTCGCACGGTTTGAGAATCAGGCAGTCCATGCTTAGAAGATCTGTCTTTTCAGATCATCAACGAAAAGAGCTAGAGAGAAAGTTCCAGAAGCACAAGTACATCAGCAAGCCCGATAGAAAGAAACTAGCCGACGATTTGGATCTGAAGGATTCACAAGTTGTTCGCTTTTTTCTTTTGCAAATTTTATAACTGTTAGTTTTAATTTGAATAGTTTTTTTGAAAAATTTTTATTTAAACAACCGTATCTAAATAGTTAATGTTAAAATTTGATATTAGTTTATCAAAATGTTTAAGCATTCTAAAACGTTTCCATTTATTCGGAAACATATTTACAACATTTATTAATGATATTTAAGCAAACGCAAAATGTTTCAAATTGATGGCATAGCTTTATAATGAGGTTTTAAATAAACAAGTGCATATTCCCCGCAAACAAATGCTTTTTAACGTTAATCTTCCCAAAGATTTTCGATTGCTTATATAATGACTGAGTCAAGTCAAACATTCGATTTAAAATCTGTCTTATTAAATTATTTTATTCGTAAATTTTAAAATAAAATAAAATATAAAATACTTGAACGTGGGTGGTGCTCATTTTTAGTTATCCACCAAAATATGAATATTGCATTGATTTCAACAGGTGAAGATCTGGTTCCAAAATCGTCGCATGAAATGGAGGAACGCCAACGAAAGACTGCAAATGAGCTTACATAAAGAGAGGAGGGTCTTCAGAGAATTCATTTATTAAATTAATTTTGAAAATTTTAAACTGGAAGTCAACAACTTGATAGCAAACTACTACTAAACAACATTGAAAACATTTCGATGTTCGTATAATGAACAATTTGATAATTTACAAAAGATTTTTATGTTACCATTAAGCGGAAAAATTTTTTAATTATTGACTGCATCGATATTGTAATGTCTGAAAAAATGTAGTTAAATTTTTGTGGAAAATAAAAACTCAGTAAAATGATTTCCGCCCCACGTGTGTGATTCGTTATTGCAATGTTTGAAGGATATCCTAAATGACGATGGTGGTTACAATGTCTGCAAATATCCATTTATCAAAATATCAAATATCAATAGTGAATATCAAAACACATCATTTTTATAGAAACAAAGAACCGAATAGACGCATTGATTTCGCTATGTAAACATATTGGATAAATACTTCAAATTATCAAGTTTTAATTTTTCTAGCGCTCAGTTGCAAATGTCGGTTGTCATCGGATCGATGCCAATGTGTGTCGTACGATCCTCACTGTTCATTTGTATGCGTTTATTGAATCATTCAATAATATTAACAATAGGCAGGCACCTTCTTCAAATATTTAATCTCATGTACATTCAATGCATCTCCTCTATTCTAGCAGTGAAAAATAGTTATTGAAAATAATTCCCTAATGCAAGTTTTCAAAAAAAAATTTAAAGTTTTTCAATGCGATTCATTTAAATAAATGTTAAAATACTGCTGTAAATGCCAGGATTTCATCGGTTACGGTTTCATCGATTTCATCAAAAAGGAAAAAAACATTAAAAAACAAACATAAATCATTTAATTAAACTGTAAAATTTGTTTTCATAATTTAATAAATTTCATGAGCAAACTTAAAACAACGCGCGTAATGAGAAACATTCATAAAGTTGGATGCATCGAGCAGACGTGCCTAACATATCATTGCTGTTGCCATTCCTTCATATTGAATTGTATATTTGTATATCGACCTATGAACTCTTGATTGAGTGACGTGTGTATGACGTCATGTGTTGTTTGTCGAACGTGAATGGATATAACTATTGGGCCAGTCATGTGATTGGTTATGAGATTTTGTTATTTTTTAATTTGTTAGTTGTCGACGAATACTAATAAAATAGTTGTATTGTTATGATATATTATTGTTAATTATTATTATTATTATTATTATTAATTATTATTGTTATTATGAAGAAATTTTTGTTACCCAACTAATATGAAATGATTGAAATAGGTTTTAACGATAAACAACCTCTATAGCTTGTTAACTTGTTGAAATAGTTTTATAACAAAATTTTGTTTAATATCATAGAGGATGAAAAAAGATACATCTCTTTGTCATAATTAAATCTTGAAATTCAAGATATTATTTCCTATTACCAACAAAACAAAATCAGTGAACAAAAATACTCTTGGCGAACTTGTGTAAAAAAAACTCCCAAGCTCACCATCATCTTGACATATGTGTAATTTAAAACTTTGTAAATGTGAAAACCTTGGTAGGTATACCATTCAATAATAACACCCACATGTTTGCGTCACCAATTGAACAAATCTGCCACATTACTTAAAGGAGGGCAAGATGGTGCACCGCACGTGGATAGCGGATAGATTTTGAGGGGCGATCAAAAGTAAAGAAAATAAAAACTCCAACTCTGACATGATTTGATACATATGACATGTTATTATACATATTTAGCATAAGCTAATGTATATACATATTAATACATTAATAAGTTTCAGCTGGTTTCGTTTCTGCTCCGTGTTTTTCTTGATTATATAGAATTGTCATATAGTGATTTAATTAAATTTAGTTGCATACAATAGAGGAAATTTAGACAAACAAATTTATATTTTTTTTTCATCGAAATTATTATTTGTTAATTTTACTTTAATTTATGTTATTTGCTTTAATTTAATGGAAAACCCAATTTAAATAAGCGTAGTTATAAAGTTGAAGTTGTTGGTACAAATAGGATTGTTTTCTACTAGTTGTGTTTGTTTGTTTACTTTGTGTTTTTCTGTTTTTGATTTCTTACAGACTTTATAGCAACTTTTGTAAACAATTAAACTTGAAATGAGTACACGTGCAAAGACAAAGTCAGATTCGTTGAAAAACTTCAGCTGTTTTCGTTGCGGTTGTGTTTCAAATCTTACGTTAATACCTGATGATGTGTACTGTTTTATTCAGAAGTATAATAATTTCAAGTGGTTTTGTGATATATGTAACAATGTTTCTCCAGACACCAAGTCATCAGCAGAAATAGACACGAATCTGCTTGCGAGGGCAGTTGACAGAAGTAAGCAGGAATTGATGATTAAAATTGATGGGTTGACAGATGCCAGTAAAATCATAGAATCGGAGCTCCGGAATATCAGATGTGCAGTAAAATTGAATGATGAAAAATTAAGCAACATTAATCATGCTGTTGATGAGATGCGTACGGGCAGTGGTGGAGTCAGTACGTCATGGACCGATATAGTAAGCAAAGAGGTTAAAAAAAACATTGATGTAATTAACGTTGAAGCCAAGAATGTGCAAAAAAAGTTGAATGATGCGACAGACATCAAGGAGAGAGAACAAAATTTGGTGCTTTTTAGACTTGCTGAAGGAGACGACGACAAAGAACGTGTTATGAAGATTTTTAATCACTTGACTCGAAACGAAGTTGCCGAGAAAGCAGTTGTTAAAGTAACGAGACTGGGGAAAAAACAAAAAAAGTAAACAGACCGTTATTGATAAGTCTTGATAAGTTGAGTCGAAAAACTTAATAATGGATAATGTATCACGAATGAAATCGTTGGATGATCTCCTAAAAGGTGTTTGGCTTAGTCACGACCTATCAAAGGATCAGAGAGATGAGCTGAAAAAGTTGATCAATGATGCAAAAAAGCAGGAATCTGTAAGCGGTGATTTTTTATTCAGAGTGAGGGGACCTCCGGAAGATAGAAAATAGTCAAGTTTTGGAGGGATCAAAAACTGAAAGAAAAAGTTTGATTGAGAGAGATGGCACTGATGGTAGCGTTGATGATATTGATTTTGATGGAGTTAACGTTGAAAGTTGTTTTAGATATGCAAATAATAAAAGCTATTATGGTAAGTGTCAATATAAAATCTCAAGTCTTGATGTGTGTGGTGAAAGTGGGTGTAACAATAAAAATGCAATAGGTAAATTTCAGTATGTTGAGGATGATAAAATCAACGAAAGTTTTAATGAAGCATCTGGTAAAGGTAAGCCTGCTAAAATTGGAAATGAGGAGCGATCGGTGGTTCTGGGAGTTTTAAATATCAGATCTATAATAACAAAATTCAGCTCTATTTATGGTTTGATTCATGAAGGCCTAGACATCTTTATTTTGACGGAGAGCTGGCGTGGTTCGGCAGATAATATTTCCATTGGGTTATCAATGCCACCTGGCTATCAGTTTGTAGACCGTTTGAGATCGCACGACCCACATCATGGAGGTTAAATCATTTTTTTCCGATCAATTTTAAGATATAAAAAGATCACTCTGCCACTGGTTACTGCTTTCGAGGTTCTGGCGGTGAAACTTAAAATTAATGAATTAGATTATATCCTACTGGCAATTTACAGACCTGGATCTGAACAATTAACGACATAATTTTTTGATGAACTGATTTCGGTCTTAGAATGTGTTACAATCATTAGTTTTCGTATTTTGTTAGCGGGAGATTTTAACATTCACATGGAAAAGTCGAACAATCCAAACGTTGTTAATTTACGTGAAATATTTGAAATGTTTCAGTTGATCAACCACATAGATGAACCAACGCATATTCTAGGAGGAACGCTCGATCTGATTGTGACGTCACACAATATAGCTGTCAGTGAAGCAAAGGTTTATCCTAGTGGAATCTATTCAGATCATGGTTTGGTACAGGTTAGTTTATCAATAAAATTGACAAAGTCTCTGAGAGCAAAAAGATTGATCCGACTCTGGAATCGTTTTGATGAGTAGGTACTTGAGTCTCCAGTATCCAGACCGTGTAAAACTGATGATGTAAATGCAGAATTTGGTTTATTCAGTGACAAGGTAAGGAGAATTGTTAATAGGGTTGTTCCTCTTGTACTTGTGCTGCCTGGGCGCCATCATGTTGCACCGTGGTTTGATGATGATTGCAAGGCTTCAAAACGGAAATCTAGAAAAAAAGAAAAAATTTTTAGAAAAAGTTGTAAATTGTCTGATAAAAATGAATGGATATTGGCCCTTAAAGAAAAAACTGAAATTTATTCAAACAAATGTAAAGTATATTGGAAGAAAGTTGTCAATGAAAACAGTAAAACTCCAAAAAGCTTGTGGAGGGTGGTTAATAAAATTTTTCTAAAGTCACAGTGAAGGCACTAAACGCGAATTCAATGATCTCAATGCTGGCCAGTTCATGACTTTCTTTAATGGAAAAATTAGGGTGATAAAACAGGAGATTGACACTGAAAATCAATCTTGTCTTAACAGTGATGATTATGGATGTCAGCAGTTGTTTTCGACTTTTCGGGCGGTGTCTGAGGCTGATATCAGGAAAGAAGTGCTTCATTCACCTACAAAGTCCTGTCAACTAGATAGACTTTTTTTAAAAAGCATTTTGAATTGCTTTGTCCATTTATAACCAGTTTGATAAATCTGTGCATGAGGGTAGGTTGCTTCCCCACACCTTGTAAGCATGCAATTGTTGTGCCGTTGTTGAAAAAAAGTGATGCAGATCCAGATGACGTCAGTAATTATCGACCAGTCAGTAATCTATCATTTATATCAAAACTCATTGAAAGAATAGTGTCGAGACAATTGCTTGCTCATTTGAATGATAATAATCTCATGCCTGCACATCAA